CGTGCTGAAGGAATGCTGCCTGCCTGAGCATAGTGATTTTGCTTTCCCTGCACATTGGACCCAGACCAGCTCATTGTGAGGTTAAGGAGGGTGAGGTGCCTTCCTTACCGTGGGGGGTCACCTGGGCTGGAAGATCCTGTTAATTGTGGGACCATTGCCTTTGTGTTGCTGGTGTGTTTCACTTCTCACACCTGATGTTACAACTACTAGTGGTGAATTAAACTCAGGAATTAATTAAACATTTTCTTTTCATACATGCCATATTAGTTTTCACAGGAGCCATTTCCAGTCAGCAGAATTTGTGTCTTCAGAAGTTCTTTTACTCTGGGCCTCTCTGCAAGGCAGCACTGCTTGTTTCTCTTTATCAAGGAGTAACTCTAGGCAGTTTTTAAAGACTATGAACCTAAGCTTTTAAATGTTATTGTCTGGAGAGCTACTGCAGCCACTGCAGAAGCAAGTCCTGTTGCAGTGAACACAGTGAGGGTAGGGGCATGCAGCTTACCTGGGGGGATTCCTTCTCTCACCATAGCACTAGGTGAGTGTCATGTCCCTCTTTGGGGAACAAAAAAACAGTAGGGCCCACATGGAGATTCTTCTGCTTCTCACCTTCCACCATATGTGTTTTTGAGGGAGAAAGGGCAAAAAAAGTCGCTTCAGGACTGTCCAATTTCTGCAGCCTCAAGAACAGCCAAAGTAGAAACTTTCCAGCAGTTGGAGCTTTCCAGTTTGTAGAGGACAGACTGCCCTGGGATCAGTTGCTGTTTCTCTGATCCTCTCTGTTCTGCAGTTTTTCACCTCTCTGTATCTTGATCCTATCTGCCCTTCTATCTCCTTTTCCCTATCTCTCTACTTCTTCCTTCAGTATTCTTTCTGTGTTTTTTCTATCCATGGTTTATCTCAAACTGAATTATTTTGTGACACTCAGGAAGGAGCAGCACTGTTACATATTCTGTTGCCAATGAGCTTTTCTGTGCTTTCCCTGTTTTCTTGCATTTGAGATCCTTAGCCCCTGGGACAGAGGCTTTCCACCACTCTGGATTGGTACAATACCTGTTACAGTGGGACCTGCTTTTAGTGTCTAATAACATGATTAATACAGCTAGTACAAATAAATTATTAATCTGCACTTTGAGGTTTCTAAATCAGGATGATTTTTCCTGCAATCATTCTCGTCTTCATGAAGAATTAAATGAATGCAATAAATGCAAACATACGTAAAGTCAAGTGTCCTAGGTTGTTCATCCTGAGAAATATGCAGGTTAATTCAATATGTGTCTCTACATGTTTCTGGCATCATGGTGTGTAGGTAGCTTGAAGAGCTGCATGAAGAAGTGATGTGAGATGTGTGTTTTTTGGAGATCACTAGTATGCCTTGTGTATTTACTAGGAGATCAGCATCTCTCCCCAGGAGATTGAGCAATAAAGAATGTAGAGATGGCTTGTGATCTGCCTGGCAGCACTAAGCATTAACCTCAAGACAAGACACTGGGAGCCAGTTTTTTAATTCCTGAGTCTTCTGCTTATTCAGCATCTTTCCTTTGTCCAGTGACAAGTCTCCTCTTGTCAGTTCACTGCTGAACTGTAGATCTGTCAGAGGAGGCAGTGTTGCTGAAGTGACATCTCTCAGTCCCTGGAGAATTGTGTCCCACAGGTGCTGTGAAATTTGTGTGACACATGGCAGCCAACCCCACCGAGGGACTTGGCAGTGTGGAAACATGTAAATGCAGGTACTGTGGAAGGCTGTGTGGGAACTGCAGCATTTTGTCTTGCAGTTGACACTTCACCATTTCCTTGCTTTACAAATGCGTTGAAGATGTTCACGCTTCATGAATACCAAACACAAGGGTTTTCTTTTTTTCCCCCCATGATCAATATGAAGATCTCAGTAGAACCCATAATCACAAATCTTTCCTAAGTGCTTTAACCGCTCCCTTCCCCCTCCTCAAAGCTACTGGCTGGTATGGCAGTAATTGAGGCAATCACAGTGTAAAAATAAATCATTGCAGAGGATTAGCTGTTACCTGCTGGTGTGGGATCTAATGGTGCAGAACCACTGGTTCTTTTGTCAATAACACTGTGTTTCAAAGTTCTGGTCTCCAATTTTCTCCAGGATCAAATTGAAGAGGCATCTCTGCCAAGTGAATTCCAGCTGTTAATCAGTGAATATCCCAGGAGGCCAGTTGCTAAAAACATGCCGCAGGGACAAGATATATTTTGAGAGATAGAAGAATAGCAGAGGTATATGAGAGTAGCTGATGCAGAAAGGTGCTTTTTGGCCTTCATAGCAATGGAATTCCTCATAGCAGATGAGAAGGAGCTGCAGCATGTGCAAAGCCTGGCCCTGGTGGGTGTGTTGGTCAGTAAGAACCTGGCTACACAGAGCCAGGATTGAATCCAAGCTCTTCATGCTTCTCTGCCCCAGGCTGCCTGTGGGTTCAGGACAATAGCTCTGCAGATGGTCAGGTTGGGGAGGAATTCTGCATAGTTAAAACAAATTAAACAGCTGAACTTCATCTAATCACTGAGGAGTTGTCCATTCACGTTTTGGGAAATGAGGAAGGAGACTTGAATTCTTTTCCTTCCTTAATGTCTGTTGATTCTCACTGCAGTGGCAGCTGGTTGCTGGTTTTGCTTTCACTGGGTGAATCCCAGCTGTGATTGCAGGTGCTGCTCCACTAGCTCAGATCCAAGTGGGGCCTTGTGAGCAGGCAGCCCATGTTGAAGTGCTTCACAGCAGTGGGTATAAATGAATGCTAAATCAGTTCCCTGGTAAATGTTGGAGCCATGTGAGTGCACTGAGCCCCTCTGAGCTGCCAAACCTTCTGTCAAGCCAGAAGTTAAGTTGTTGTAAGTCTGTGTTCCATTTTCTTTCCATAACTTGCAGTGTGTCCTGTAGGAGTATAAATATGACTCCAGCCAGGCGTGAAGCTTGCAGTTGAAAGCCAGAGTGTTGGAGAGGCTGGGTAATGGACAGTGTGATTGTGACTCTGGTCACACTGAAATGGGAAGAGTCTGGGCATGTCTCCACCTGTGTGTTTGTCCTCCTCCAGAGGGAAGGGCGTTATGGAAAGCCTGGTAGAGGCACTGCTGAATTTGTTTTCTGGATGTGTGTGTCAAGGTTGGTGAGAAGGCAGAAGTCCCCCTGTGCCAAGTGTGTATGGATGCCGTAGGAGCAGGAGTGCCTGGCCCTGTGTGCTGACTGGCAGCTGGTGTGTTGAGGTGTGGCTGGGAATGCTGCAGTGAAGGTAGCACAGCCAAGAGGGTGAGCGAGATGATTCTGTCCTGCTGCTCTGCCCAGACCCCACCTGGGATGCAGTGTGCAGCTCTGGTGTCCTCAGCACAGGAAGGACATGGACATGCTGGATGGAGCCAGTGCAGGGGAGGCCATGAAAGTGTTTAGAGGGATGAACCCTTCCATGAAGACATGCTGAGAGGACTGGAGAAGAGAAGGTTGTGGGTAGACTATTGCAGCTTTTCAGTATTTAAAGGGGAGTTATAAGAAAGCTGAAGAAAAACTTTTTAGCAGAGCTTGTTGCAACAGGATGAGGGATAATGGTTTTAACTAGGAGAGTTGATACAGATTATATATGATAAATAAGTTTTAAACAATGAGAGTAGTGAGGCATTTGAACTGGGTGGATGACCCCTCCCTGGAGACATTCAGGGCCGGGTTGGATGGAGCTCAGAGCCACCTTGTTGAAGATATGTCTGCTCATTTCAGGGGAGTTGTGCTAGATGAGCTTTAAAGGTCCCCCCACAAGTGAAACAATTATTTGAGTCTGTGAATTGCAGATTCTCTTTGGGCTGGAGGTTTTTTTGGGTTGTGTTTTTTTTTTTTTTTCCCCACTCCCTCTCTCCACATCTTCCACACTTTTTATCTGTGCATTTAAAGAAGTAAGGATGCTTCTAGGTAGGTTTTTATCCACTTGCTCTGACTGGCACCACTGAATATCACATACTCCTAGACTGGGACACAAGCTCTTAGCTGTGATGAGGTCTGGAGAAAGCAGCTGAAAGTCCTTGTGCAGGTAGAGGAGTGGGGAGGAGGGAACCCATTAGAGTACAACAGAGAGAACTGGAGTGAATCTTCATGCTGATGAGTACGAGAGTGGAAGCCCTGGCTGCTGCTGCAGTGTAATCTGGCTGAGCAAGTGTTCTCCAGGCACAGTCAGAACTCATCTGTGCCGAGCACTGACATGGCCTATTCCCATGATGAATATTTACCTCAGCAGTGGAGCTCATGAGTAATATCCCAACTGGAGCAGTTGCAAACTCTATCCCAGAGTATTTTCTGTCCTACCATTTATCTTCACAGCAGCACCTGACAAGCAGAAGGAAGGCTGAGGAAATGCTCCAGCTGCAGTTTGGTGGGGGTTTTTTCCCACAGTTGTTATTTTACTTTCAATTTTAGATTTCTTACATCTGCTTCTAGATCCACCTAGAAGGGAGAGGGAGTGGTGGAGATTGGTGCAGCTAGTGAGAGAAATGAGGCAGAAGAGTAGGAGTGACCAGTGTTTGCTGCTGTGTTTGGGACAGTGACTTGAGTTATCTCTAATGACCTACACTGGGGATGAGGACTGAAGTCATTATATATGAATTCAAAATGTAGTGATTGTAGTGATGGATGACTACGAGTCAGCCAAATACAACATTTTAAACAGAGTGATGGCCAGGTTTGCTGTCGCTCTGCTGGAGCACAGAGCAAATTGCAGCCTGTTCCCAGCAACTCCCCCTGCCAAAGCAGCAAGCACAGGCCAGTGTCTGCTGGGACAAATGCACCCATGTGTAGGACAGTGCCTGTGCTTGCAGCTTCCAGCAAGCTTGTGTCAGGATCTGCACTGGCCTCAGCAGGGAGTTGTGCCTTCAGCACTTTGTGGTGAGGGAGGAATTTCTTGCAGGGCTGGCTCCATGTGCACCTACTTCCCTACTACTTGTAGGAAATTTCTGTTGCATCTCTAAGCTGTTCTGAGACCTCTGAAAATTTCCCTCCTTTGTTTCAGAGCCATCATCAATCACTTCAACCCGAAGATAGAATCTTATGCTGCAGTGAATCACATATCACAGCTCTCCGAGGATCAGGTAAGCCAGGCATGCCATGGCCTTTTCTCAGGTTGACCTCTGGAATATGGGTGTTCAGGGGTACCTTGTGCTCCCTGGGACTGATGATGTGGCAGCAGTAGGAGGTGCATGTGGCAGTCTCATGTTCCTTGTTCAGATGCAAGTGAGAGAAAGAAAAGCAAGAATTGCTTTAGCCAATTTTACCACCACATACAGAGATTTTGGTCCCACAGATGTAGAAGGATGGGTACAAACAAGAAAAATATTCAGCATTGTCAGCGAGTGTATTTGGACACTGTAAGGATGCTGGCATTTAGAATGGGGCAGGAAGTTTTTGGCAGGAAACTTAGTTATCAGAGAACTGCTGAGTGTGATTTGATGTTTTTCTTTTGGTGATGTTGGGGACCTAGAGCTCTGACAGCAACTGGTAAAAATTTTCTAGGGTAATTGAATTCAGTTGAGTTAGATTTTAAAAAGCAGAGTTTTTTAATAAAGAGGGTGATTGTGTTAGGTTTCCCTTCCTTAATTTGGCCTGGTTTGCTATCTTCGTGTTCTGCTTCTATTGCATAAATTTGTAAACGTGGCTTTTTGAAAATAGGCTACTGTGAGTGGTCTCAAGAATGGAAGAGATGGCCTATTTCCCAAAATAAAATATCAGAATTATACATTAATCACTCTTAGAGAGATAAATGGCTCTGCAGGAGCATGTGGTGGACAAAATGCAGAGCTGCCAATGAGAGCTTGGGGAATCATCCCAGATACAGCTGCATCAACAACTCTGGACCTTCTGGAGAAGAAATTGTTTATGCAGTCCAGGACAGACTTCATTTAAGTCACCTTGGGTTGCCCCTTCCACTGGATGGGATCCCATACTTGTGCATGATAGAAGGTCCTGACTGTACCCTGCTCTGCAATTCATTTCTCTTTCTGTCCATGATATTTTTACTATTTCTTGAGTATACCCTTCCATTTTTTTCCACTAACCTTTTCATTTATTAACCTACTTGATCGGTAATATGTAACACCCCAAAGACTTAGGATGAATGCTTTACTGATGCAGTGGGGGAAAAAAAAGGTGGCCCCTACTGGTTTTTATTCTCTTGGTATAGTTGGATAGAAGAACACTGGTTTTAATTTACTCAGTTTTCCTTATTGTTCTGCCTCTGAGAGTCACTGTATCCATAGCTATGCTTTGTGATGGTTTGTGTTATCAATCCTCATTCATTGATGATACACTGATTACATCAACCCAAGCCTCTAAAAAAGAAAAGCATTTGATAGCCCAATTTAAAAGTGAAGGCTTGGATAGAGGGGAATTTTGCATAGTCTGAGTTAGTCTGAGAAAGGAAATGAGCTTTTCACTGTCAGCTCTGTGTAGTATTCATCCCCCAGCAGTTCAGGGAGGTCAGGTTAAATCCTTTCTTCCTTGTGTGTTATTCTTTAAATAAAATCCCTAGCAGCAGGCAGATAATGAAATCAGTGCTGATGCATGAAGCATTTTGAGGAAGATGATTAGGAAGTTGAAAGGCAGACAGATTTCTCTTTTTTCTTTTCTCCCTTCATGCTTTCTCTCAACATAGGGAGAATATAAAACAAAATAAAGCAATAATAGCCCCAGATGAAGTGCAGAGAAATAAGGGAGATGTCACTGTGGTGAGGGAGTGTGTGGTCCCAGGGTGTTTATTCAGACTCTGCAATTTACTGCACAAGGGAGGAGAGGGATGGAGACTTCCACTTTCAGTTGTGCCAGTGATCTCAGGTCTGTGTGTTTGGACTGTGGTTTCCCCTCTGTCAGTAGCTGTAAGTACATGAGACATACTGGTAGCTGGCCCAGATGAAGCCCAGGGTCTGGCTTTTGTGGGCGAACAGAATTTGCTGTTTTCATTGTGTGAGCTGTTCAGCATGTGTGTGGGAAGGGGAGGGATCAAGCTTGCCTTCTGGCTGCTGCAGTCTCTTTCCTTTTTTGTTTTTCTTTCCAGCTGTACCTTTGTTTTAACTCGTGTGTTCACTTAATTACCCATTTCTCTGCTCTCCTTAAATATTTTCTACACAGAATCCACCATCCTTTATAGCCCTGTCTTTTGAAGTGTTCCACACTGAAATATTTAATGCTGACATTTAGATTGTGTGTCCACACACAGATACTGCATTTGGGACTGGTCATTTTCTCCTTTGAGTTATTCTAGTAGTTTCAGAAGACTGGTATTTCTTTACTGGAAACATTTGTTTTTAGAATTTTAAGGGTCAAACTTACCTTTTAATTAAGATTTCCTTCTCAGACACCAGTCGTTCTCTAGATTCTCGTATGGCTGCTTACACTCCTCTGTGGTAACCTCCTACTGATCAGGCAGGTATGTCTTTGACACAGCTTTGTCTGAAGGGGAATTTCCAGCTGCTCTGCTTTGTTTCAAATTCACCTGAAGCTAAGTTCTGATGCCCTATTCATGTGTTAGATTATTTATTTATTTTTATATTTTAATATCCTTAAATGCAGCTAAGTAATCAGCTGAAAGAGATTTTGCTCTATCTTCTTCTTTTCCTAATCCTATTGAAGCCTTTATTACCTTGTTAATTACTAATGTCCATTTATTACTATTCTAAGTCTGTCATTTCAGGGCTTTCTCCTTCTTTATTTACAAGCATTAATTTAACAATATTACATGCTGGGGGGATTTGTAGGCTCTTGAAAATGATGGATGTGGGATTGTTTTAAGGATAGGCTGTTAATGCCACGGTATGTTCTCGGGCCTAGAGATTTCCAGGAACCATAGTCTGAATAGACAGGTTTCTGGTCTAGGCAAGTATATTTGTAAGACTTCATGGAACTGCTTTGCTGACTGTTGTGGGGTTTATCCAATGTTCTGATCAGAAATAGTGGAAAAAGCCCTTTTCCATCCCATGTTCTCTCCAGCAAAGAGTGGGAGATTCCTGGGGGCAAGCAAAAGATGAATTCTCTCAGTCTGTAAACACTATGGGATCCTCAGTGCCTTCTGCAAAGCATTTCCTTGCCAAGGCAAGCTCAGAATCCTTCCTAGTCATTAGCTGTTTTGACCTTGCTGTAGTTCCTCACCGTGAAGCAGGGAATGTCTTAGCTAGTTATTGGCATCTTTCCTCACTTGCTAATTTGTTAAATGTGACTTCAGTGTTAATTTGTTGTTTTGTGGTATTCTCTCTTAACACATTTGATTCCTCCCTGCACATCCTTTAAGGGACTGAAATACGTTGCACAGTCAAAAAGATGGGGTTGGCCACTAACTGCCAGTGTTAGCTCTTCCATGCAAGCGATTATTCCCAGGGCTTCAAAGAGGTTTTGGTACATTCTTGAGCCAAAGGGCAAAATAGCCTTTTATGAAATGAATTCACAGGCTTATCTGTACTTTCCAGATGATTGGACTGCCTTGTACTTAATATGTTGGAGGAAGTAGACTTTCTCAGTGTGCCATATCTGATCTGAGAAGCTCCCAAAATATTTTCTAGCATAAGCACATGTAGAGAACAGTCAAGGCAGTGAGGAAACAGCAGCACAAGAGTTGCTCCAGAAGAGCAAATACAGACAAACAGAAAGGATGAAAACACAGCATGAATGGTCTAAGTGGGGCCTCACATCTGCCCTTTTCTGGATGTGAAAGAGCAGCTGTTTGTAAGAAGGCAGCTCTCTGCCTGATAGCAATGTAGCACAGCTTCCAAGAAAGGCTAAAGTGAGAGGAACCCATTAGTTTGGGTTGAATCTTCTCTGAGTAGGAATGTGTTGTGGTGCTTTGCATGCCAATCAAGTCTTCTGCCAGTTAGAAAATTGCTCACTAAGGTCTTGTTTTCTCTTTGGCATTTTTTCTCTCCACTATTTCCTCTCTAAGGGTCTTAAAATTGAGATATGAGACACACAGGACTGATAATGCTTGTTAGTCAGGAACATCTCTGCGCTTTTTTTAAGTAGAAGCCCCTCTTTTTGCCCAGCCACAGTGGGGACATTATGTCATCTCAAAAACGGAGGTAAAGTTAATGTGAGAGACTGCTGTGAGCACCAGTTTCATGTCTGGTAATTGCAGATGAAAAGTGCTGGGAGCCAGAACAGATTGTGATGGAAAAACAGGACAACTCTATCACTTCTGAAATTGTGACGAATGTAATACTTGGGTTGTTTCACACTGTAGTACCTTTGCAACTCAGGTAGAATCATAGAATTGTTTCAGGTTGGACAAGACCTTTAAGATCATGTAATCCAACCACTAACCCAGCACTACCAGTATCTGCAGTCCAGTTTGGTCAGGCCACTGAGGTCATACCTCAGTTGCTGAATGCTCCTCCTTGCCACCCCAATCCAAATGGCCTTCTGTTACCTGGTGAGGCTCTCAGGGACTAACCTACTCAAGGAAGTTCCACGAGGGACTTGCAATAGAAAGACACAAAAGGGTGCAGTTGGTTTTAGGTGCCCTAAAGTGTTTTAATTCCGAGCCATTGATGTCAGGGTTTATTCAGTTTGTTCTGGTTTCCATAACTAGTAGCAAAGCCACTGGCAGATACCAAATGCTTTGTCTTTTTTTAGCGCTGCTGGCAGTGGTGTTAAAAGCCTCTTGTCAATGTCTGCGTTTGATATTTTTTAAATGCCGAGTACTGTCAGTGCTAGGTGCTACCACAGTAAATCCCCCTAATCTCTTACATTAATATAAAGTGTTCTGAGGACTTGAGAAATACTTTATAATGGCCTTGGCATAATGGTGCTTCACTTCTGAAATGCAGTGAGCTTTGGGGTAGAAGGTCTCCATCCTGCTAGTGTTGTGTTGCATGCAGTAGTGGGAATGTGAAACTCCAGCTAAGGAGGATCACGAAGGCAAGACCTTAATTTGAAGTCATCAGGTCTTTGCAAATGAGGCAGGGATGTTGGTTTTCATGGTCTCATTACAGACACCTACTCATGACTAATGGCTTGAAACAGATTTTATCGTTTAAATAGAGCAGAGCTGCACCAGGTGAAATTGGAAAGAATCTATATAAAAAGTCTTCTGGAATTGGCAAATTGCTGG